TTCACCTCCTACTTATATAAAGAATTAGACGAGTAAAATCAATTTTGACAACTCTAACAGCTTCGCATCAATGAAAGCTAGAAGCCCATCCAAACCCACATCAATCAAATAATGAAAAAGTCATGGTTGTTCCCTTTCATATTTAAGTCTATTGTTCACAAAGTCACAAATTGAATATGACACAACTTTAATCAAATGCAATGATAAGACATAGCATGTAGGCATCTGAGGGCTATATGAGGCTGGATTTTGGGCACTTTGGATTATATTCTTCCTCCACCACCAAGTTCATGCCCACAAGCCCATATATATTCACCTTTCACTTTCATTCCAATGTCATTGCTAGCTTGGTTGTGGTCACACACACCTCATCTTTCATAATCACTGCCTTATTTTGTTTTTTAATAACGCTAAGTTTCTCAACTTCGCTGAATCATATCCTGGATTCTATGAACGCACTCATATTCATGAGAAAATTAATCGAGCCTAATCTAAACATAATCTAGTCATTATCTTATTCTTTTCCGATGATTCCCTTTCTTTACAAACATTACTTCAAATTACAAACGCATAACCTTCACAACATTACTACATTAGTATCCATTACAACCACAATTAATTGCAGTATATTTCCGTTAGTAGCATTTCCATATTTGTATATAAGTATACCACTATCCAAAAATGATCATAATAACAACACCAATCGTTATGCTTTGGAATAGTGTCCACCTTGCAAGGTGGACACGGTTCTATATTCATAATTACTGAACTATATGTTCATAATTATAAAGTTATATATTCATAATTTTTGAACTTCATATTCATAATTATTGAACTCTATATTCACAATTACAGAACTCTATGTTCATAATTACTGAACTATATGTTTATAATTATAAAGCTATATCTTCATAATTTTTGAACTTCATATTCACAATTATTGAATCTCTATATTCATAATTACAGAGCTATATGTTCACAACTACAGAACTATATGTTCATAATTACTGAACTCTATATTCATAATTATAGAACTATATGTTCATAATTTTTGAAGTATATATTTATAATTATGGACAGTTTTGAGACTGTTTCCACCTTGCAAGGTGGACTAAGGTTCCACAGCATAATTTGCCATAATAACACTTATTGGGCTAGTGGGCTTTGGTCTTAATGGGTTATGGGTAAAAGTTGTAAAACATTCCAATCTGGACTAGCCCATAACCTTCAACAGTGTAATGATGCATTTTAGTAGTAACATGGCATATATTTAATTTAATAAGTAATGATGAGTTAAATGCGTTAAGCTATTTGACCTGACCAGTAGGTCAACTTAAGAGATTATGTGTAAGTGAATGATGGGTCGATAATTATATTGTTACAAATGTGGGTCAATGGCCTAGCCTAGTTAGCATGAAGAAGTCGACCCATATATAGACAATGTACAAAGTTACGTTGTTGAAAGGATGAATAGAATTGTAATTGTATGGCGTATCTATATGCTATATATTCCATATGTAACTAGTGTGTAGGAGTAAGGAATTGAGTCATGGTGACAGTTGCCATGTCTATAATGACATTATTTCCTTGGTATAATATATTACGGAGTATTTTTTTATTTTTTTTTTTTGGGAGTGACGAGAGTAACCCATAATCATTACTAACTCGAAGTTATATATGTATTGGGTAATATATTATATTCTATATGCAATAGTGTAAATAGGTTTGAATCAAATATACTATGTTATACATAGAGGGTGTGTTTGGAAAGCAGGAAAATGGCTTCTGAAAAATGATCATTTTTCAGAAAATATTTTTCTTTACAATATTTGGTTGCATTCCATAACATTGTCTATTGTGTTTTGTTTATTTTCTGGAAAATGAGCATAATTATTTTTAATTTTAAATATTTAAAATATACAATGGTGGTGGTGGTGGTGACGGCGTGGTGATTGGCTGCTCCACTGCTACAAACAGAAAATTACTTCTCCCCCCAAAAAGTGGAAGTCATTTTCAGGAAAACCCCCTCTATTTTTCATTGACCATATCCCTATTTTCCATTGACTTCTTTTTTCCCCATCTAGCCTAGAAACCCGAAAAAAAATAATTTTCAGAAATCATTTTCCGAGTTTCCAAACATACCCTAAGTAGAATACAAGTATTAAAGTAAGATACACTTCATGGTCTAACCAAAAAAAAAAAAAAAAAAAAAAAGTGATGAGATATGTTGTAGAAAGTGTGTTTATTAGTAATATTTAAATTATACTACAAGTCCAAATAAAGGTAAGCTCGAGAAGCTCTACAATGGTTGCTAAGTGTACTAAGACTAAAGGTGTGTTTGGTTCGCCTATGAGGATTGGAATCGGAATCAAAATAGGAATCAAATACTTGGTAATGGTACGAGTTTTAGTGAAAATGTTTTGCAGGTTTGGTAGTAGGGTGAAATTGAAATAATTACTAATATTGATTTTTGGTTATGTATTACAGGAATAAATGTTTTAAAAATACAAAACTAAAAAATCAAGGCAATTGATCTCAATATAATGACATCCAAAGAATTAATTCGAACAAAAAAATCAAAACAAAAATCTAAAAGCATTAGTCAAAACATAAAAATTATATTACAAATAAGATGTAATAATATCTTTTTAATTAAGGAATAATTTTTAATTGAAGAAATAATCAAATCTCATAATTATATTTCAAAAAGTTATCAATTAAATACTAACTATAATGTTGATTCTCATTTCTAGTGTGTAAACCTATGAACCACCCTAAAAAATCAAATCATTATCGAAAGCTAGAGTACATCTTAGAGCATCCACATCAATGGTGAAAGAGGGGTTAATGTCAGATCTATTAATTTGGGTGGGGTTAATAGCAAATGTGGGATGAGATTATTTTAGGAGATATTCCTCCTGCAAATACCCAATTAATGTCAGAAAAGGAAAAGAATAAAAAATAAAAAGCAGCAAATGCTGTGCGCGTTTGCGCACAGCTAAAGGCCACACGGGCGCGTGCAGGCGCGCTGACAGCGCGCCCGCATTAACCTTTTTATTTTTTTGTTGTAAAATTCAATTTTATTTCAGTTTTTTTTCCTTTTTTTTTTCTCTCATCTCACACTCTCTTTCCTAATCACTCTTACATTATCCACATATTCTTCCCATCTAATGTGGATGCTCTTAGAACACAAGTTTGACATGACGGTTTGCTTCGTAGTTTGAATATCATCATCGTTTCTTGTAGATATTGATAAAAACTAATTAAGCATGTGACTTTTTGGATGTACAAGAAGCATGATGTGGGAAAAATAGTACTCTGTATAAAATAACAAGAAATGACATTTTAAGTGATTATTTTATGGTATAATGCTTAGTGGGATCTATTTTCAGATTGGATCAGGTCAAATTAGATTTGGGTTCTTCGTAGTGAGATAAATAGATTGATATATTGTACCATCAAAACGGATAATGGGTAAATGAGAAATTGATTCTCGAAGTAGAACTATTTTAGTTGGAAAAATGAAGGAAAAATGCTTTAAAGTAGCATTTGACCCGCATTGATTTGTGAAGTGAATTTGCACCACTATTTATACAAGAGCCTTTCTAAGGCTTATTAAATTGTATAGCATAGAGGCTCTCTTTTGTGTGCAAGGGATAAACATTTGAGTCATGTAAAATTTTAGTATAATTTTTCGAACACAAGCGTTTGCGAACCAGAATCGGTCGTTGATTATTCAATGGAACAAGTGTCGTTGGCGAGCGAACCAGAATCGTTCCTTAATTATTCAATGGTTCTCCTTAATTATTCAATGGTTCTCGCGTTCAGAGTTTTAATTCATCAGTTATGGAATTAATTTAAATTAATTTCAATTTGAATTTCGAATTCATCAGTTACGGAATTAATTTGAATTAATTCCAATTTTGAATTTCGAATAAAACTCACCTATTGGCATGCTGCTTCAGATGTTACAATATTGATATTACATCAGTTTTAAATGTCATGTTGAATGTTATTGAATTCCTCAAGTCCTATATAAGTTGTTGTAGAGCAGCTGATTTTTACACACAACAAAAAAACTATTTGTTTTCTCTACTTCTACTCCCTTTTCTCTGCTTCTACTCCCTTCTTGCTATCTGTGTTCATCCTAAGCTCTTGTTCGTTGGGTTCTTTGTTTGGGTACTCAAACATTAAACAGTAGTACGTTTTATCTTAGGAAACCTAATATACAATCCCTCTTAACAGTTTTGGGAGATAGCAAATAAGGTTTTAAGGGAATAGTGTTTCACTCGACCTGTGCTAACTACCTACTTACATATCTATTCATACTTCTCAGTTTTTTTTTTTTTCAGTTTCCAGAAAAATAATAATCCTATTCGGCTATTCTACTCCATCACTTTTACTTCTGATGTGACACACAATGATAGACTGTTCAAACATATTTTCTCAACCTACCATTGAAGCTCAGTCTCATGACCTCCCACATGGAAGATGTCACTACATGTTATCTGAGCACAAGATACTTAACGGATTATTACTATTATTATTATTAGGGAAAAGGGTCAACTAAGCCCTCGAACTTTAGCTTAAAAGTCAATTAGACCCCTAAACTTTTTAAATGTGCAATTACACCCATCAACAATTCATTTAGGTGCAATGAAGTCCAAAAACAAGTTAATGACCTGCTATCATGGGTCATTAGGGTTCAGGCTACCTTCCGACAAAAAAAAAAAAAAGTAACCGGTGACCAACCGGCGAAATTTCCGGTAAAAAAAAGTGACTGGCCACCGACAAATGGTCACCACCAATCACTTTTTTGCCGAAAATTTCGCCGATCACTTTTTTTTTTTGCCGGAAAGTGACCTGAACCCTAATGACATGTGATAGCAAGTCATTAACTTATTTTTGGACTTCATTACACCTAAATAAATTGTTGATGAGTGTAATTGCACATATTTTATCAATCATATATTGTATCAAGTCATGATCATGGGAGTCGGTGAGAATATAAGCTTCAGCAGCTATAATTTCATGCACAATAATGCATTTCATTACAAAAAGGACAAAACATAAACACAAAAAAACAGAAACAAACACACGCTCCGGCCGGTCTCCAGCCACGCGCCGCCGGGAGCTGGTCTGGTCTTCCATCTTCAAGCTAAGCAGCAAACTCTTCCGATCTACTACTTATTTATGCCACATCGATCACAACTTCCTCGTATATATCCTACGAGCTCAATCAGCTCATGATTCCTCTTCATAACCTCTAACACTCACATATACATACATATATAATCACTCACACATATTTACAGTGTACTTTCACACAGTACACATCCTTAATCACATACTATACTATATATATATATATAATATTTACATATTATATTAGGTGGGATATTTTCTCAACCCGACTTATAACGAGATCGAGAAAATACATTTTTCCTAAATAGAAAAAGGAAAATAAAACGAGACTAGAAAGTCTCGGACACGTCACCACAAGATCAGCAAAAAGTAAGGGTTTTAACTGATCCGAAGTTCAAGAAGATACAGAAATTCTGAGTTGACTTTACCCGTTCAGCGATCCAAAGCACTCATAACAATCCTGCAATATAGTATATATATCAAACAAATTTTGTTCAGAAAATAAGAAATTAAAATGGGAAATAAATAAAACTGACAATAAAAAAAGAGGATAAAAATCGAACCAGTCGTAGCCAGTTGGAGTTGTATTCCTCCTTGCCAATTTCTTGTGATTAATCCCACCAGGCGTACTCGCTATAATCACACCCCAAAAACAAAAAAAAAATTCATTTATTTGCTAAATAGATTTAAATAATAATAATTTTTTGGAAATTTTCATGCACGTAATAAAGTGATAATAATGAAGACTGACGTGAAAATGGGGAGGTGGGAGTGGTGGTGGGGGTAGAGGTGGCCGGGGAAGATGGGCCGGAGCCGGGAGAATCGACGGCGTGGAAGCCAGGGGAAGCGGAGTTGCCGCGGCGGATGATAGAAATGCTCCGAGAAACCGGGATCTGATCACCGGCGGCGGGGGTGGCGGGGGCCGAGGCGGGCGGATCACCGAAAGATACAGACAGAGGCGTCACGCCGGCGGGGCGGTCTTGAAACGTCTTGGCCTTGCGCAGTTTGCCTAGCCCGAACTCCGGTGCCGGTCCGGCAAGCGTTTCGTCCCAGAGTTTATCTAGAAAACCCATGACGAGACGATAATGATGGTGATTAACGACTAATTATTAAAAAAAAAAAAAACCAGAAAAATTGAGGATTATTATGAAATGAAAATACAATTCTTTTGTAACAACCGAATTAAAGAGGTGATGATCTTGGGGAGATCAAGATTAGAGATGGGTAAAACGACTGTTACAAAGAGAAAAGTTGGTTTATTAAGGTTAAATAATTACAAAGAGGAAAGACAAGGAAACGGTGTTTCTTATAGAGAAGACGAGAGGTGGATAAGGTTGCGGAATTTGATTGATAGCTTATGTGGGATTGAGTGGCTCCGCCTAATTAGGATTTACTTGGAGCCGCTAAGCCGCTTTACCATTAAATTGGAATAAAATATTATTTTTTCTACACCAAAACTCCAAAACCACTATTTCATTTATTATTAATATTAATGGTAAAGCTTACAATTTTATTTTTAATTTACATTGATAATAATTTATATTAATATTCTTGCCCTTGCCCATATTACTTACTTGCATGAACAAAGGGTACGATGTTTGATGGGTGATATATATCAAGTTATGAATACTTTTAAGTCAATCTCTTATAATTTGTGACAACATTTTCTTCTATATATGAATTTAGCGATTATATTCTTTTTTTCTAAAGAATGGTTATCAGCTTAACATTTTATTAATTGTCATTCAATATAGAGTGAACGACATATTATAATTGAGCGCTCTAGAAAAATAATAGTATTGAGAGCTTGCGCACAATCGCTTATTGTTTTTCTCTAGCTATCAATTAATATGGGATATCAAACTTCGTGACACACTTGGTTATTAATCTTATTGTTATGGGTTCACTAAGTCTATTATTGACATCACTGACTTCGTTACTTTGTTTAATTTTTATTTGAATAAGAATTGAATTTTTAAGCTCATAATTTAGTCGATCAACTAATTCATGACTTGTTATTTAATACGGAGTATATGGAGTTCTATTAACATGACCATGAATAAATATAATGAGGTAAATATGTTATAAAGAAGTCCTAGTTTAATTTTGTTTAAAGAAGTACATAAAATTTTAATTTTTTAAAAATTTATATAAGCATTGTTTAACCATTAGCTAAAATGAATTGAAAAATAACAAATTATGGCAAAAAAAAAAAATCATTTACCAAATTAGTAATTCTATATGTACTTCTAATTTGTACTCCCATTTTATACTTCCTATGATTTGGTATACTTTGATTGTCCAATTTAGTAGGGGGTCATGATATTTATCCATTCATTTATTTCTTCTTCCAATTAAATTTGAACACAAGTAAGAGTAAGGTTTTGGGAGTATATCAAGTATTTTCCTTACCAAATAAGAGGCAATAATTGAATTGGTATCTACTACATGTACTTCTTAATCTTACTCTCTAAATTGTACTTTCTGATGTGACAAATTCTGATAAATTATTTTTTTACGTGAATCTCAATAAAATGTATCAATATTTTATGTGTGTGAGTACAAGTTGAGAATACAAAATGAAAGTACATGTAACATTTTCCAAGACGGATACCGTTGATGTATAATGTTAGCCGGCTAGTTAGCCGAGCTACGCCAACTGAGACGGAGCCGGCTGACATGGTCGTATGGAAACAGCGTGGAGCCGTCAACAGTTGACATATTTGTCCCGTTTTTATTTAAGTGGGACACGTAATGAGATAAGATTGAGAGTGAGGGTTAGGTCTGAGGACTGAGGTGCGCTTTTGGGGGGTTTAGATATACGACATATGTGGGACCCACAAACATCTACTTCTCACGTGACAGCTCGACAACAATGTTCTAACCTTATTCGCTACCACTTTTTTATCTCGTATTATGCACGTCATTAGCTGTTTAGCAGCATGATTAGCAGCAAGTGTAGTAGGTAATCGACTAATCATCCCATTCCTTCACACTCTACATAGTGTACTTCAAAGAGTGTCATCACACTCAAAACTTGTAACCATAGTTTTAATATTTCAATTATTATGACCCGCATTGGCAACTCAACTGGTTACAGAGGTGAAACTTTAGAAGAATGACCAGGGATCGAGTCTCACCAGCGATATTGTGAGAGCAACCTCTTAAAGTGAGGGGGTCCAGACAACCTTGTACACAGTGAGCACAAGTCTAGCCTCTGTGGTTCATGTAGAGCCTTTGGAAGAATATTTCAATTACTATGTAGTGTGAGGTGGTCATATAATTAAACATGGTGATGAGGACATTGTCACATTGATTCTTTAGACGGAAAAAATTTGAGAAAGTATGGAACATATATTACCTGGTAAAAAGTCATGAATGTTTTAATTAGAATATTATTTTCATTCTTGGAAATTAATTTTTTTAAAATAGTTAGTATTGATGGTTTTATCCCTTTATGGGATCAGATCAGACTCGTCATGAATCGGGTATAAATTATTCTTTAAAATGGAAAAAAATAAATATAATATTAATTGGACATTGGATTCGAATAATATTTACCAGCAGACTAAGTAATACGAAGTAAATAACAAAGCACAAATCAAATGTGTCAAGAGATGACAAGGTAGTGAAGAAACTACTACACTATGTGTTCTGATGATAGATGTTAGAAAGGGATAAGGGTACCCTTTTATAGTAGTCTTCCCCTAAAAATAAGTGATTGTTATGTCTCAATAAATCACGTCGATCCATTTGTCGACACTAGGTTGCTACGTGTCGTTGCTCAACCCATTTAGTAATGCTTATTGTTTATTAGGGCATCCTCAATAGTGAGAATCTTGGAGTAGTTTTTGAATGTGTGATTATGAAAGAGAAATGAGTGAAAGGGAAAAAAAAAAAGAAAAAAAAAAATAAAAAATTGACAAAATCTCCCAAAATCCTCAAAACCTTGATAAACCCCAAAATTTGCAGGACCACTCCAACCCTCTCTCTCTCCGTCACATACTCATATTTTTCTTATTTCTTGTGCAAAATTCTTTATTGGGGATGCCCTTATATTGTTTTCACTTGCATGATAAATAAGGTAGATTAGTTGGTTAAAACTTTAACCATCAAATTTTGTCAAGTATAAGGACCCAACACAGACCAATATAACTCATTTTTTAAAAATAAATTATACATCAACCAAATAAAGTAAAATAAATTCTTTTATTACTCAAAATTTACGAATAAATTATACAAGGAACTTATTGCATGTGAACAAAACGGGCCATAATTACCAAAAAAAAAAAAAACAAAAAAAAAAAAACAGAAGAACACAAAACATACACACTTTTAGACATGTAATAATTATAATTTTTATAGTACTACCGACTCTATTATACAAATTATATTTTCTTTCTCTTTTTTCTTTTTCCTTCTAAATCTTATGTCGCCCTAATTTAAAGTAATATGGCTATAAAACAATCTTTGTGGGATATGGATACAATTTATATATATTTTTTTCCTTCTAAATCGTATGTCGCCCTCATTTAAAGTAAGAGCAAATACCAAATTTGATCCCATGACAGGGCGTTTGGTTGGAGGAATTTTAAATTCCCTTCCCACTTAATTCCCACCTAATTCCAAAGTCCATTAAATTTCTTAGTTTGGTTGGAGGGAATGGAATTGCAATTCCCCCATTTTCATGGAATTAAAATCCCATGTCACCCCCCCCCCCCCCAGATTTTAATTTCTGGGAAAAAAAGATAGTGATGAGTCAAAATTACCCATTTCGTTTTTAACCTTAAATTAATGTCTAACAACAATAATGGACATTTTTGACTTTATACTACTTATTCCCTTTCAATTCCCATGTATACCAAACACTGAAATTTAAATTCCCACTTTATTCCCAGTAATTCAACTCCCATGGAATTACAATTCCTTTCCCACAGGGTTCCCTGTGAGTATTAACAAAATGATATTTTTGGTACACATGTTTAATTCATACTAATTTTCATTTACGGTTATTGTTTTAGTTTCAATTTTCATCCCAACTATTATTTTAGTGTCAAAATTCATCACGCCGATCACCCATTCATTTAAGACATGTCGAAATATGAAATTATTAAGGGTAATTTCGTGCTTTTAAAATTAAGATCCCTATTTGAGCATGACTAAAGGGATTTAAGCTTTAATATCTATCTCAATTCGTAGTTTTCTTCCTCAAATTAAGGTAAGATGGAGATGAGAACTGTGAATTGAGATCGATCTTAGGGCTAAATTCATTTATTTATGCTCAAACTGGAATCTTAAGTTGAAAATGACAAAAATACTCTTAAAATTTATAGATTTCGGGATGCCTTAAATAGATTGGTGACCCATGTGATAAATTTTGGTACTAAAATAATAGTTGTGGATTAAAATTTGTACTAAAACAATATTCGTGAATTAAAATTAGTAAGAATTAAACATGTGAACTAAAACCGTTATTTTACTAATACTCGTGGGATAAAAATTGGTATTTGTTCTTTAAAGTAACATGACTATAAAACAATCTTTGAGGGATATAGATTTGTCTAGGGTATTGAATGTGAAGGGTTGTAGACTTGTAGACACGGAGTAAGGATAAGATAAAAAAAAATGATCTTTCAATCACTCTTCGTATATATATGTATGAGTTGGCATCTACAATCACTCTCCACATATATGAGTTGGCATCTATTACAATTAATATAAAGATATAAAATTATATTGTTTATGTCTCATTTTATTTCTCCTACATATAAAATTATATTGTTTATGTCTCATTTATTTCTCCTACTTACTATTTATGAGTGAAATCAACTTTTTTTTATTTGTTTATTTTCTTTAATATTTTTTATTTATTTTAATTTTTTTTTTGTTTAATAGTACTTTTAGTGTAGTTTCTAAATATATAAATTTTTTATACTAATACTAAACTTAATATTATGAAAAATTAGATTAGAATTAACTTTAGTTAAATCTCGTTAATCGAACTTAAGGAGTTGTATTTTAACATATTTGAATAATGTTATTATAAGAGTTAATATAGTTTAAACTTTTCTTTTTTAATTATAAAAAAAGGGAATACCCTATATACACACTACTACTTGCCTCAAGTACTAGGTTCAAATTTTTTACCTCCCACTTAGAAGAGTAACTAGATACCAATGAACCACAAGCCAATTGGTATGTAGTTTAAACTTTAAACCCTGAATAAGTTAGAAACACATGCATTAAATATAACATTAACTATTATGATCAATCTGAAGTATTATTCAATTATAACATCACAAATGATTTAAAACATTAAACTAATCATGTTGAGTATCTAAACATTAAGCCTTGTCTTCTTCGAGAAGGCCACCCAGAGGAATTTTTTTTAAGTAATTATTTTATTTAAATTTATTAAAATAAAAATTTCAAAAATATTTTTAAGTTTAGTAATTGTCTAGCGTTACCAGGTCAACATGTCAATTTGGGTTGAATTGTATTATTTTGTATTGATTGGGAACCTAATTGTAGTTTTTTTGAATTTGATGACCCAATTGGCCAATTGTAATTTACTGTGTAATTTGGCGGCTTATTTGATCCTTATTGGCAAATTATGCAGTGGAAACGTGTCCACCTTGCAATGTGGGCACGATTTTATATTCACAATTTCTATACTGTAAGTTCATAATTATAGAGCTATATGTTTATAATTTTATAAATATATGTTAATAATTATAGTGATATATGTTCATATTCCCAATTGTTGAACTATGTTCTCACAAATCACAGAACTATATGTTCATAATTTAATAACTATACAGTTTAGAAATTATGAATTTACAATACATGAATTATGAATCTACAGTACAGATATTATGAATCTGCAGTGTATAAATTATGAATCTACTGTATATAAATTATGTATCTACGGTTTTAGAAATTATGAATATAAAGTATAGATTTTATGAATCTACAATATAAAAATTATGAATCTACAATATAAAAATTATGAATCTACAGTACAAAAACTATGAATATGGAGCACGGTTCCACAACATAACGTTCCATCCTTATTTCTTTCTAATTTGGTTTAAAAGTTCTCTTTATTGTTCAGTAATTATTGTTTGCCTTTGGAGTGTACCTAACAACAATATTAATTAAGTTAAGTTGACCTAACATTATCATTAATTGCGCCGAATGTGAAAGTAAATTGCACAAAGGGTTCACCTTTTAAACTTTATAATTTACTCAAATAGCTTTTTCTATTTGGTTTAATGATTCACCTCTTACTATTTAGGAGTTTAAATTTTATGGTTTAGGTTTGGATTTAGTTTTCTGGGGTTATCAACAGATACACATTTTAATTTTATTTACTTGCACTCTATAGTGTTAAAAGTTGTACTTTATAGTATCGTTACTTGTACTTTAAAGTTCGAGTTGTTTACAACAGTGTCACCATAATTTTTTTTATAATTACTTATGATCCATTAAATATTTCCAAATATACGACTCTAATTGGTTCCTAATTTTCTTATTGGCCCTAGATATGATTGCGATTTTGGTTCCAATTTTGAAGGGCTATTTCACAAGTATAGGAAATGAAAAATCAGAACTAGTAGTTCTGGTTTGAACAGCAATTCAAGCCTCTTTTTTTTTTTTTTTTTTTTTTTTCTTAATCCAATTCAAAATTAGAATTGACGGTCCTGATTCTGAACCGTCCCTACAGTTTCGATTTCATTGTTCTTTTCAAAATGTTAAATCTCCAACTTAATGGCTCCCCGCGCCCCGACCATTTGGGATGATGGATGTAAATTATAGTAACTCAGCTGAAAGGTTATACATTGCCGCTGATGAGACTTGATCTCGTGTCATTGTTTCTATACTTCACCTATGTGACCAACTGAGTTGCCCTTCCGATTTCAGTTCAATTGTTACAAGTATCCGATTTAGTTAGAATCGAACCGTAGTCATTCTTACAATGTGTATGTATGTATACAATTCTACTTATGTAAAGGTGCATAAATCTATATGAGATTGAGTAATAATAAACGTCCTATAACATGTAATGAAGATGTGCTTTTATAGAGTTGCACGGCCTTAGCTCAATGATTTAGTAGACAGTATTTGGAAGAAGAGCTCAAAGTTTGAATTTCAGTGGTGAAGTTGACAAATTCTTTGTACACACAAATATTTGGTCATGTTTACTGAGCCGTTGAGTCACAGCCGAAATATGAAGGACTCTTTATTGGGGATTTAATCTTTTGGGAGAAGATTCGCTTTTATAGAGCACCATAACATATTTGCATATCAAACAGGTTTATCCTCAATACTTGATAAAAATTCAACCTATTGAAGTAAAGTAAAATTTATATAATTCATACTCTTGTTGAGCATATACCATTAATATGCAATCCAACTATTAGCTGAGATGGAGCAAATGCTTCAATTACTCTCACTTAGTAATAATGGAGTTCTCTCCTCACAAAAAATACCCATATCTATGTTGGAATCCCAATAATTTGATCATTTTATAAACATCGACCCAATTTAACACGTGAGGTGTCCCCCTCCCCCATACATCCTAGACTGTTCTAGAAATCATCCGGCAAAGAAGCTTATAGAAAAATCTCTCCTCTGGAACATTCCCCATTTCCCTTTTTATCTCGCCACTCCATCTTTCATTCCACAACTGAAACTCGTCTCTTCCATTCAATCAAGGTAGCTTTTCTCCAGTCTCCTTTCAATTTTCTGCTTCGACGATCAAGAATTCTGCTTATCGATCGTTCGGTTCCTCTAATTTCTTGATTTTCCGTTCTGGGCAGGGCAAAATAAATTTGTGAAACAACGTACGGGCGTCGGAAATGAGCGCAGTGGTGGACGCGATGGCCCAGCTCCTCAACATCCCGGAAGTGCTAGAGAGAATGGTGTCGTCGGAGTACCGGGCACCGGACGGCGGGGAGAGCCGGGGAGTCGGTAGCATTCCCGCCGACATCCTCGACACCCCTAAGGAATACGTTTTCTACCTCGACGTTCCCGGCTTATCCAAATCCGACATTCAGGTATTTTAAAGTATTATTAAAATTCTTCCGAGAGGCTGAACTCCAACTCTAAAGACCTCCGCACTCCGACCAAACAGAGCATATTTGGGAGGATGTAAATCATGGTAACTTAATTGAACATAAACTACAGAGGTTAGACTTTTGCTCTGCGCACAAGGAGCTCCTCACTTTAAGAGGTAGCTCTCACACTGCCTCCCTGGTCATTCTTCCAACTTTTCACCTGACCAGTTGAGCTACTCATGCCAGTATATTATTAATATTAATTATAGTGGTGATAGAGATACATATGAGAGATTCAATACAAAACAGATGAGATAGATGTTAAAGTGATTGGGGAATTGAATTGGATCAGGTGGGCGTGGAGGATGAGAGGACGCTGGTGATCAAAAGCAACGGGAAGAGGAAGCGGGAGGAAGAAGAGTGCAAGTATTTGAGGTTGGAGAGGAAGGCGGCGCCGCAGAAAGTGGCGAGGAAATTCAGGTTGCCGGAAAACTGCAACGTCTCCGCCATTACCGCCAAGTGCGAGAACGGGGTGCTCACTGTGGTGGTGGAGAAGCACCCTCCGCCGCCCAAGTCCAAGACGATTGAGGTGCCCATCTCCTGACCGATCGATCGAGAACACGCCCGCCAATTCTAAGCTGTTTGCATCAATTCCTAGTTTACTTGTTTAATCGGATTATGATGTAGTAGTAGTTTCTGAGTTCCATGCTCCCATATGCAAACTTGTGTTAAGTTTCATGATTGTATAAACGCGTTTTTGTATCAGCGGAGAAAGGAAAGAACTAAGGAAATGATCATTTTGCCTTTATGAATGTCATTATTAGAGTTCTACTAAATTACTTTCTAAATTTTATTCCCTGGTTCTTGATGTGGCGACAAATTATTGTGTGAATCATGATTCATATAACTTTGTAAGTGGACTATAAAAGAAATTACGTTTTTAATATATTAAAATTATATTTTTTGTGTATTAAATGTACATTATATAAATAATATAATTGTAATATTTAAATAATAAACATTTTTTGAATATAATGTTATTTTTTTTAATATACTAAATGTATGATCCATACAATTTTTGTTAAAAATTTTTTAAAAAAATGATCTATACAATTTGTGTGGACCATGGTCCACACGATAATGATGGGTAAACGGTAAATGTCGTGATGGGCCCAACCCGGCAACGCAGCCCATAGTCGAAAACACCTCTAATGGGCGAAACATAATAATGGATTAGGGTTTTAAGTAGCCCAGAGACTCCTTCAGCTCAAACAGTTGCAACTCAATTCTGACTTCCTCTCATCGTCATCACTCTCTCCATAAACCCTTAGCTAGTAGTGCAGAACGAGCAAGCGGAGCGGAAATGGCGACGACGCAGAGATCCTTGTCCACTAAGGAGGCTGATATTCAGATGATGTTGGCTGCCGAGGTCCAACTCGGCACCAAAAACTGCGATTTTCAGATGGAGCGCTATGTCTTCAAGCGCCGAAACGATGGTAATATCTCTATATATACGTCTGTACGCGCATGCATGTATGTATTTTTGCTTATATTTGTGCACATATGGAAGTTTGCAGCATGGTATTAGACACACATACATTATTGAAAGCATGTTCATATTTAATTCCGTTATCTATTTATGCTTAGCGACATTGATGATTGTTTTTGCTGGTTTCTGAAATCATGAGTTGTTGATTTGTGATCTATTTCGTGTGAACTCGTTATTTCTCGTTTTCATTATGTCATATTTATTATTTGAGATCAATGTGTACTTGCTAGAGTGTGATCATCTACAATTCAGGTTCGACTATTTATTAGATTGTTTGAAGGTTAATTGGTTATTTAGTTTTACATCTCAGAGTTTCTGTAGGGATTGCTTTCACAGTTTGTCGTTCCCCAATAAATTTCTTTAAACATTTCTACAGTATGACCAATACATTTTAATCTGCATTCTCTTGCAGAGATAAGTTGTACTTAGTTTTCTTTCTGATATGGTTTTGTCATGTTGAATGCATCTTATGTAGGGTTTCTATTATTCTTTTTTATTGTGATTGACAATTAGAGGATGTAAAACATTGATAGCATCTAATTTTTTATGGCTTGATTTTTGCTGGATTTTTCATGAATGTTTCGTTAGGTGTTTTACTGAAAAAGACTTCGATATATGCTACATGTCTACATCAAGTGTTTCTTATATCTATTTATATTAATTTGAGTAGGAATTTACATCATTAATCTCGGTAAGACTTGGGAAAAGCTCCAAATGGCTGCCAGGGTCATTGTTGCAATTGAAAATCCTAAGGATATTATAGTGCAGTCAGCTAGACCTTATGGGCAAAGAGCCGTCTTGAAATTTGCCCAGTACACTGGAGCTAATGCCATTGCAGGACGTCACACGCCTGGGACATTCACAAATCAGCTCCAGACATCATACAGTGAGCCTCGTCTTCTCATTCTGACAGATCCACGGACTGATCACCAGGTTGTTACACGTTTCGTCATTGTATTGATAATTACCAAACTAATATAGTATTTAGTGTAGTACTGTTTCTAAAATTTGTTTGCAACTCTATGCAGCCTATCAAGGAAGCAGCACTTGGGAACATCCCTACCATTGCATTCTGCGACACTGATTCCCCCATGCGGTATGTGGATATCTGCATTCCTGCTAATAACAAGGGGAAGCACAGCATTGGTGTTCTATTCTGGCTTTTAGCAAGAATGGTTCAACAAATGCGTGGAGCTGTTGCTCCTGGACACAAGTGGGATATTATGGTAAATTGAAAGTTCGGATTTCTTGAATTATTTTTATTCTCTTGTTTCGCAATATTAATTTTTTGTGCCTAGATGGATATATTGTTGTTTCTAGTGTTTTTGCTATCTTTTTGAAATCTCATATTTTGATATTGCTTCTTGGTAGGTGGATCTGTTCTTCTACAGGGAGCCAGAAGAGGCAAAGGAGAAAGAAGAAGAAGAAATGCCTGCCATTGCTGAATATACGGATTATGCTACCACAACACTTGGTACTGAATGGTCTGCAGCCAATATTCCCGACAGCCACTGGTCTGGTGATGCTGCCCCAGTACCTGTAGTTACTGGAGAAACTGGTAAGTTACCACTTCATTAATTTGGCAAAATTTGATTAGGGTTCATTCATTGTTTGTCCAACGCTAACTTAGAACCTCTTTCTATACACGATTTGATTTATTATGATGTCACATTTCCTTTTATGGGTAGTTGTCTAAATTCATTCTGCTTCTATAAATCATGTGAGTTTCAGCCGCAGTTGATGGTGGTTGGGATGCAGCAGCTCCACCAGATATACCAGTTCCTGCCGGAGTAGATGTTGTGGCAACAGGTTGGGATTCTTGATGGCATATTTTGGAGATCTCTACTTTTTCCTCTTCCATAGAATGTTGAGTTGGTAAAAAGTATCCCACCAAATTTATAGTTCTTTTTAGTTGCCTGAAAATTTTGACTAGTTTTGATCGTCCCTCAGGCTTCATGTTTTCAAATTTATTTTCCTAATTAAATCATTATTCAGTTTTTACTGGGTGTAGTCGAAATTGGAAGGTGAGAGAGTGAGACTATCTATCCAACCTACTTCACCTAAAATCAAGTTCTCACCTAATGGCTCATCCTTTCTTCTTCCCACACGGCACACCAACACAATCTAAAGAGTTCTGTGTTATTTTGTCAAATTCCTTGAAAAGTTCATCTAGAAACTTCCAGCTGTCGGATGATGGAAAAACTTTATAAACGTTACCCTAAGGGGGCGTTTGGTTCGGGTTATCTAAGATAATCAAGGTTATATTTAGTTGGTTATATAAGATTCCTATGTTTGGTTGGAGTTATGCAACATTCCCATGGAATAAAATTTACCCTCCACATCATCTTTTTCCCTCTTTTGAAGGGAATGTGATTCCCTTAGAATTCTTAGGTATTAAAAGATTCCCTTGGCATTTTACTAACTTTGCCCTTCACTATCCATCACATTGCTTTGTTTTTTACCGAAAAGTTAAAAAAAAAAATTCGAAATTAACCTTTCGGTTAAAGCAATCAAGCTAAGTTCACTTTGCTTAACATGAAAAATCAACTTTGTAGAAGCCACATTTGAATTTGTAGAAATTAAAGAATCTGTATGTATGAAGCCACGAGTCAACTTTTCGGATAAAGGAATGAATATATATATATATATATATATATATATATATATATATATATATATCAAATTTTGTATGGTTACATGCATTGGAATATTGAAATGCATTAAAATATATTGGGGGTATTAAAGTAAAATAATCATTATAACATAAATAACAATATTTCAACCAAACATGTTTATATTATATAACTCAGTTTTTACCAAACACAGGAATCTAACATTCCCAGTAATCTAACATTCCCAGCAATCCAACATTTCCTAAGGTAATCTGACATTCCGTGAACCAAACGGCCCCTAAGGGGGCGTTTGGTTCAGGTTATATAACATAACCAAGGGAATGTGACATTCCAAAGTTCACATTCCGGTGTTTGGTTCATATTATCTTAGGGAATTTAACATTCCCAAGGAATGTCACATTCCCTCCACATAGGATTTTGAAGGGAATGTGATTCTCTTCAAAATCTTAGGTAATGTAAGATAACTTTGGTTATGTTAGTTTATTTTATATATATATATATATAAAATTATTTTTGTAATTGTATATATTTTTATTTTTATTATGTTATGTTAGCATATAAAATAATTTTGTTTCTCAAGTTCAAGTTTTTAGTTAATATTTTAAAATCATGTAATTATATATATGATACTGTTATCTTATTTATTTATTTTAATTTTTAAATATATTAAAATATGTTAAGGATATTATAGTGTGTATAAAAAATAACCCTAAACCAAACAGATTATATTACATACCTCAATTTTAACCAAACACAGGAATCTAATATTCTCAGTAATTTAACATTCCCTAAGGTAATCTGACATTCCGTGAACCAAACGACCCCTAAAGGAAATTGATGCTGATTTGTTTTGGTTGATCTACTTTACAAGTTATTAGCACAATACATTCAAGCAACTTTCATAATACACATCACATAATAAGAAGCAATTCGTTGGCGATCATCCTCCACAGAAACATTTAAATGGACGACGACTCAACAGTGTTTATTAAGGTTTCTTTAAATGCAGACACCATCATCCTAGCACCAGCAGGCTACAACCACAAACAAACCTCCTATAAGAACAAGGAGGAAAAAGAGGGAATTAAACAATAATCCTATTTTATCCTCCATATGCAGTTAATAAAAATACAGGACAATATCATCAATAAGTCTTTACTCACATTATGACATGATGATGATGATTATATACAACACAAACCAGAAAGGGGATGGATGCTCTGCATTTGCATCAGTTTATCTAGTAGATCTAGTAGACATCCCCCATTAAAGAAGGAACATCATCAAATGACCAGAGATCTATGGCGTTTCCACCATCAGCATTAAGGTAAGTGTCAACTGATGAGTCCCAGTTTCCCTCCAGATATGGGATCTGAAGGAACTTCATCTCATCTTCAAAAGCCGAGAGCTCTTCAGACAGCTTCTCAACCGTGTTTTCCGTAGACTTCAGTTTCTTTTGTGGGTTGGTTTCCTGAATGAACTGAATCTCATCAGCAGCTTCAACAGCAGCCGACAGAGCAGAGGATATCTCTGGAGTCTGCTCTCCCCACCCATAATCAGTACAGTCCAAGGAATTCACAGGCGGTTTTTGGACAGTCTTAGAAACCGCCTTCCGTGGATTCACCTTGACAGCGCGCCTTGACGATTTTGTTTGAGTTTCAGCATCAGCAGGGAAATTCAACTTAGCTTTGTTGCCTCTGATCCTCCGAGCCTCAGTATCATAGGCTCTCGCCGCTTCTTCAGCAGTGTCGAAAGTTCCTAGCCAGACTCGAACACCTTTACTCGGATCACGGATTTCAGCCGCCCATTTGCCCCAAGGACGCTGCCTGATCCCCCTGTACTGATTTTTCCTCTTTCTCTTCATAGTTTGGTCAAAGTCCTTAGAATCCGAGCTGAAACCTTCATTTAGGTAAAGGAAATACATACATCAGAAGAGTTCTGGATTTAGCAACATCACGGATAACACAAAAATTACTGGATTTATCTTCGCGGATCTAGAATCTAAAATAGAAACGTGAGAGAGGAAATTGAATGTTACCGGAAGAGAGTCCGAAAGCGAAGGGTTTGACATCCACCTCTACGACCTCATCATCATCATAGTCATTGAAGTCCTGAAAATCAGCCTCGAATTCATTATCGAGGTCAAAAGCCGAGGATCGCAGGCCTCCGGAATAGTAGCTTCCTGCAAAATTCTTCTTCTTCTTCCCACCTGCGCTGCTCCGATCAGCGATTCCCCATAGCAACTCAGAGGTCAGCCGGCGCGACGTCCGGGCCGGCGGTTTGATATCGGAGATTATAGCACCACCGCACATCTCTAACTTTCTAGCTTGAAATCAAAAGACAAACTATTCGCAGAGATTTTTTCTTCGCAAAAAAAGCAATTTCGATTGAGAAAATTTGGTAGTTTTTACCAGTGAAGTTTCAGATGCAGCATTGGTTATATATACAAAGGGCAGTGGGTGACTATTTGAGGTGAAGAAAACGGCAGGAACGAGGTGAAGTCGGGCGAGTTTACAGGATTGCCCTTCTCAGAGGGGCGTAATTACTACTGAACAATTCTCTGTACCGAAATACCTTTTTTCGCGCGTTTGTTAAAATGGCAGTTAGCTGATTGTGTTAATTAGAGAGAATAAATAATTGATAATATTAGCTAATTGTAGAAAAGTGTTTGGTAAATTAGCTGTTAGCTGATAGCTGTTTGGTATAATTTTTTTATTTTTTTTTTTCAAAAAGTTAATTGAAAAAGTTGTTTGGAGTAGCTTTTTTAATTTTAGCCTTTTGGAGTTGCAAAAAGTTAATTAACCAAACATTTATATTGATATTTTAACTAAATCAAACAATTAATAATGATCAAATAAGCCAAAATTGGTTTATAAGTCAATTTTTTACCAAACAGGGCCATTATCTTACCTCAGAATGTTTACTATTCTAACACATATAAAATACATTATCTTACTATCAGAATGTTCATTACCTCTGATTAATTCCCCATTGAATTGTAATTAATATGGGGGATATGAATTGCAATTCAACAAAAATAAGAAAATTGCAATTCCTTCCAACCAAACATTGTAATTATGGTGGTTAAAGAATTATGATGTAATTGAATTGCAACTACATTTAATCAAATAGCCCATTTATGTTTTAAGTGATGTTTTAAGGTACATTAGACTAATTTTAAGTCCTTAAATAATTTATCTCCTCTAATACATTTTGAAAAAAAAAAAAAATTGTCTAACCAGTCATCAATTTTCACTTTTTCACCCTTACCTATACACTTTGCACATAAAGAGTTTTCATTACCCCTAATTAATTTTTTAGATTTTGGGTTTCCGATGATTTCATCCTAAGTGATGATTTATATGATTCATTATGTATATGAGTTTATGCTAAACTATTTCTAAGTTCTCATATTTCCAAGCGTTGTTGGGGAAGGGGGGATAAATTGTAGATGATCCTATCATTTTTTAGGTTTTCGCTTATATCTGCATACTTTATGTATAAGATATTTTTTATCTCCTTCGAGAATTAAGATTTACTCCAATAACAATGTGGGAGTTTGAATTAGCTGGCTCTACTAATGAATGGCTTTTACCAAACTTTGGGAATAGTTTCATCTTTCACTATTCCACCGCTAATTTTTGACCAAAAAACTATGCACTTTTTCTTGCCAGTAAATATTTCACGTGGGTAATTGGTAAATAATTAAATATTAAATCATGAAAAAGTAATGTTGCATTTCGGCTGGATTGTCCTCCGCAATTCTTATCCGATGTATATTACTTAAATTATGTGTGTCAAATGAAAAAATGGATAAGAATAATTAAATATGTAGAATAGGAAAGAAGAAGCGAATACCAAATTTGACCATAGAAAATAGAAGCTAGAGTGATAGATAGGAGGGGTCAAAAGGGGAATTGACTTGGAGAACAGCGATGAAGCCAGAGGTGCATGCATGCTGCATTGCTGCTTGCCAGGCAAGGGAAAAGACAAAATAGTCAACAGTTGAAAGTTGGTCGAGTGTGGGTCCCAATACAGTAGCTGTGGGCCCCAACTGAACGCGGATAGGACGGAGGGACGATCAACAACTTGGGCTTTTGGGCCGTGTCGTCCAACTCACGTTTTCCTTGATGCTATTGGGTGTTGTTGATATCTAGCGTGGTCCCCTGGACGACGTCGTTTTGCTCGTTATCGTTTCAGACTTTCATCAGTGCGATTCTCAAGTCCGCACGAGGATCGACGACAGTCCAGGGGTGACCACGCCCAACCTTCCACCTCATCCAATCATCAATTCATACATAAATGCATGATAAATTAGAAAAGATATTACTTATGCTATTATAAATACAAAATATTTATATCTATATTTTTGGTAAATAATTTTTTATTTATAAAAAAATATTACTATTTCTTATTTAAGAGCATCTATAACAATCTGTCTTCTCAATCGGGTTATTGTCGAGATGAATTCGTTGACGGTTATCGACATGATGCAAAATAACAACAGGGATGATGACTTTTACTGCCCATTATTAGAATATTGTAGCTCCATGGTCTCCAAGTTCGATAAAATTGCTTTCTTTCATACTTTTAGTGAAAAGAACCAGTGTGCCGATTTCTTGGCAAACTTGGGTCTTAAGAAGGATTGGGGCACTTCGATGTTCAACGATCCTCCAGAAGGTCTGCCGCAGCTGCTTGCCCGCGAAGCTGGAGGTGCTTGCACCTAAGAATTAGATAGTTTCGAGGCTTAGTTTCCCTTCAATAACAAAAAAGAGTTAATTTCATTTTTGGTCTTAGATTTATATGTAATAGTCCACTTTTGAGTCTTTTTTTTTTCCTTTTTTTTTTTTTTTTTTTTTTTTTTTTTTTTTTTCAAACCATCCACTTTTGATCCTAGTATTATTGTGGCATGACCATTTTTGATCTTCCATCAACAAAATAGTTTAAATTTCATTAAATACAAGAACATTTTAGTCTTCAATTTTGATTTTTTTCAAAAAAAAAACATAAAAAATATAGCTAGTCAACCTACTTTGTATAAAAATGATCGAAATGTCCTTGTATTTAATGTCATTTCAATGATTTTCTTAACGGAGAACAAAAAATGATCATGCCACAATAATACTAAGATCAAATGAGGATGTTCTAATAAAAATGGACTAAAGTAGTCTACCACTTATAAATCTAGGGAATTAACTAAAAAAAATAACAATAAGCCTTCTCAATGGTCGCAGGTTGTCAAAAATTGCTCAGAGGTTTTCGAAGGATCACCAAAACTCTTAGTGAGTTTAACATGTTTAAGAATTTAATTGCAACTTAACTTATTATTATTATTATTATTATTATTATTATTATTTTTATTTATTGCTTGGATCCACATTAATATAATTAGTATACATATCCATCAAAATAGTAATAACTTATTGAACAGGTTATCATACATTTAATTAAGATTTCTGGTTTAAGGAGCATTATTAGTGGAGTTTTGTTTTAGTTAGGAGTATCTACTTGACTTAAAGTGCTTATTTATTTATTTTTATATTAGATTTAATCCACAATTTTGATAGCATTTCTAGCTGTTTGTCATTCTCTGGTGGTCTAAAAATGTAAAATTTTTACTATTTATTATATATTTCTCTATCCAAAATTCCTTGTTTAACATATAGCACTATATTTGATCGATTAAAATAGTCCAATATCTCAACAAGCTTCTTATCTTAACATTAACTATACTCTTATAAGGTATTGGACTTTCTCAATTAATTTTGAGAAGAATAAACCTAGATTTATGAATATATATAATACTCCGTATATTAGAGCATCCATATCAGTTTGGTATCTTTCACGTTTTTTTATATAAGCCAACAATGAGAGAGAAGAAAGAAAAAAGAAAAACCTAACCAGCCCTGACCCAATTGACGCAGTTTTTTTTTTTTTTTTTTTTTTTTTTTTTTTTTAAGTAATTGGAAAAGCGCCAGTAGTATATGCGCCTGTCTTGGCGCGCTCCCAGCGCTTTATGCGCAGGGATTCAGTGTTGCAGTGTCTTTTCTCTCACATGGTGACCCCCACAAAAAATTTAAAATTGCAAGAGAAAAAACAATACCAACAATTTGTCCCCACACTTGTTAAAATTCCTTCTTTAGTTTTTTGGTTGTAAAAATTTAATAAAATCTACAAATACAGATGCTCTTAAATACTCTGTATGCAATTATTATTGTGTGGAGTATATTATCAAATTACGTACATTCAATATATAAATAATACATTTTTAATATATTAAAAAGGTGTACAGTATTAAGGGAAAGTTCATTAGACGGGTGTTATTAATTCCGACAAGCAATTACTTGAAGGGACGGATTTACTGGAAAAGGACAAGATTTGGATGAGAGATGAGATGGGGTCAATGAATATGAAATTATTAAGGCTTATCCACAGTGTCTTAATGTTGACGCTGCTCCACCCATCCACTTGCTCCTTCAATCTCAATCACTCGTCATTCATTATATGATTGCAATTTCTTTCCCCCAATTTCAGGTTCAATTAAGTATCCGAGCGGCAGGTACCTTCAACAATAAATGCAACCTCCGTCACTAGCTCAAATGATAAAGGGAAAATGACACTTTTTCCCCCTAAGTTATATACTTATAGCACTTTTCCCCCCTGAATTATTCAAGTGGCTATTTTTCTTCCTGAAATATTAAATGGACATATTTACCCTTAAAATAAATATTTCATTTATTGTTCTTCTCCAATAAATTATGACCACAATTTGGTTCAAACCAAACAGACACTATAGCAACCAAACTAAAATATTCTAATTACAATTTAGAATCGTGACCCAATATTTAGAGTTTATTAAAATCGCGAACCGGGACGGCCGCTTCATGTTCTGAACTGAAAAAAAAAAATAAAATACATTTATTGCTGAATTTATAGTATTTTTAATTAAAAATAAAATTTTAAAATAAATACGGTTCAAAATCGCGAACCGAATTCGGAACCGTGGTTCACGGTTCAGGATCCAGTTTATTCATTTCATAATTTTAATAAATTGAAATTCAAATATTGGGTTCTAGATTTGAATCATAACCGGAAACTTTTAATTCGATTGCTATAGCATCCTGTTCAATTCGAATCGAACCGTGGTCATCCCTACGTATACGCAATAATTTGTTGGAGAAGAAAAATAAATAAAATGTTTGTTTTAAGGGTAAAAATGTCAATTTAATATATCAGGGGGAAAATCTGCCACTTTTAAAATAATTGAGGGAGCTAATGTGCTTACATGAACAATTTAGGAGGAAAAAGTGCTATAAGTATATAACTTAGGGGGAAAAAGTGCCATTTTCCCAATGATAAATTATTTAATCTAAAGTCAACACTTCAACAATAAAATATGAGTTTAAGGGTGTGTTTGGTTCGCACATAGGAATCGGAATCGGAATGGGTATCAAATACTTGGTAATGGTAATGGGTTTTGGTGAAAGTATTTAACATGTTTGGTAGTAGGG